AGCTACTAAGGCAAGTGAACCGATGCATAATTTCCAGTGGCGGTTTGGTGGTAGCTAAAATAGTGGTTTTTCGGTCCAGTCCTGCAACAGTACTTTGCATCCTTATGATGCGAAGCGCATGCCGAAGCATAGAGCGCTACGCGTCACTCTATTCAGTATTGTTTGCACTGCCACTTCGTCGGACCAATGGAGAGCTATGCTGTCCGCACACAAAAGATTTTTCAGTTGGTCGACTGGTGCAACTTCAATTCCGGAAGCGTCTAAAGGTACAGTGTCATTTTCGATCATTTCGACCTCAAAATTGAATGTACAAGGGTATACAGAACAACGCTATCAAACCCTACTTTTCATGGTGAAATCATGGGACACCTCCCCTCATACCCGTATCCGATCTCTAGAGTCACGTTAGAGAGGCTACAGAATAGAAAGGAGCTTAGCTGACACTCCTTTAATTGAGTGGCAGTGTTACGAGCTGACTCGAGTAGAAAAGTCGAAGGTGGCTTTCAGATCAGCGGAAACTGCCACAATTGCTCATCGGTGAATCTGTCTCTGTCCTAACACTTGCATGTTAATCATTATGTGGTCGATGCAACCACGAACAGGGCGAAAGGCAGCCTGTCTTTCAATGTTTTTGTTCCTAGGGGGACTAGTAAGTCGCCGAAGATTGACAGTCATGAGAAGTTTGGAGACAGTAGACATGAAAGTGCGTCATCAGTGCACCGGCACACTGTGCCTATACTTCGCCTTCATGCAACTACCATCGGTTTCGCGTGGGATCTGTATATCGCGAGGTCGTACACACTTAATCGGATTCACATCTGTAACCTCCGGTTTACAAGGCAAATGCGTAATCCTTTCGCCCATCGGCCGAAAATGGAAATAAGTCGAATATCTCGATGATTTTCACATCAATTCTTTTGACTTATTAGAAAATGAGCGCTGCATTTTACAGTCGCCATCATTACATTCATTTTACACCTTAGAGGTCGAAAAGACCTCATACTGTGCCGCACCATAGTTGACAGTCGCCAGTTTGATAGGACCACTTTTGTTTCCCAACTGATGTTGAATAGGGCGAAAGTCTAGTCGACTAAGTCATCTCCATCTTTCAGCGAAGATGGAGGAAGGCGTCGTTATTTCGTTTCAACGCGGAGAGCTCATGTCAAATATTTTCCAAAGTGGTGTGTGATATTAACTTCCCACATGGGCAAGCGATTCTGTCACAGCAGACTTAGCGAACTGCACTTCAAAATTTCGCTCCTAATGAACTCTTCGACGCGGTTGAGAACAGCTCAACTGTTATCTCGCCAACTGAAGGTTTCCTTGGACCCATGTTCCTGATGAGCTAGAACAGCACTGAACTGTGCCTAATAGCACTGGCTTTTTTCACCTCACAGGTCCCTACTAACACCGGCGTTCCTGGTCATTTCTAAGACCACTTGTCGTACAAGGGCGTTACGGATACACTGAACCTCGTGCCCTACAAAACTTCTGTGTGCTTCAGTCAAATTGATCCATACCTCGGTGATCCATTCACATTTCGGACGTACAACAGGCGTCAGAAGCATTCTCCATATCACACCTAAGACGATTCTAGCCAGCGTTCGACCCACCAACCTCATTCATCACTGACAGTAATATTGTTGAACTGCGGACTGCGAGTTCACTATACGAGTGGTATCATCCAGGGAAGCGTACTCGGTCCTTCCCTTTTCCCACTCTTTATTAACAGTCTCGTGATGTTCCTCAAACATGGCGAGCCATTTTTGTTCGCCGATGACATTAAGATTGTTTATAAATTTCGGCGTGACAAACTCTAGAGCGCAACGTTGCTTGTCCAAGACGACATTGATTCGTTTGAGAAATAATGCGACATGGATGATAAAGTTCTCAGCTGTAAATTATGCATCATGTCACGGATGCTTGGTCTGGAGATTCAGTTAAACTGAATAATGAACGCATCTGTGTGAAACTAACAGACCTACGTATACGATCCTCTTCAAACTTCGGTTTCACAGAGTAGGCTGATTATCAAATAGCACACGCTTAACGATCTATGACTGATATACGCCATAAAATCCATACAGTCCCTGCCAGAATCGTGCTTTTCAAAATTCACTTCTGTACTTGAATACTACAGCAAAATTAATGGCGTTTGCATATGAGTGACAGGAAAACTCTGGAAAACCTGTAATGATCATCTACTAAATGTTTGTCTAGTAAATCGTCCATCTTGTGCTGTAAGGAGCGTTGTCAGCAGCTTGAGATCGAACTTCTTTGGTTACGACGATTGTAGCATCACTTGGTGCTGCTACACAATCTCATACACCAACAGACATACTCCAATCTATACACCTTAAAATAGAAAACATAACCACCCGGAAACTACACAACCAAACTTGCAAACTATGCCAAGAACCAGAACAGCTGTTTGATCCAATTTCTTCCTCATCAGATACGATCTCGTATGGAATAGCCTACCAGCCACTATCAGGTCTTGCACAAATGCAAGCACATTCTGCATACAATTTAGAAATTTTCTGCACTAGAAGTTGCTAATGACCATATTTCCATTGGGTGAATCACTAAATGAGTTCTTCCAGGATGAACCACGGAACATATAATCAGTAAGAAAAGATATTACAAATGACTCAGAAACAGCAAAATTTGTTTCAGAGTGCATGATGACACACGACCCAGAATATACATGTCTCGCTTGTGCATATGCATGATCATTCCTGCACTCATGATCTGTCCCCAATTCAGGGGCAGCCTCGCGTAATCGAGACATCTACACACTAACTGAGAAGCTTAGGAGTTAATATTTTTCTCGAAGCTAGAATGTGAGCGTCAGGTATGCGCACACAAGAGCATGGTCAGAATCCATACACATGCTCCAAATTGATCGACAGTCTTGGACTGTTGTGCGCCATCTGTAGCTGATGACGATATGAGCAATTTGAGTTCAGGTTGCTGAACAGTTCGGTGGGCGCCTGGTGACACGATGTTGACCTTTGTACTGGAAAGCAGCGCTGCCACTATAAAGATTGTGCTTCACACACGGTTGCAGGAATCGATCATCATTATCTGCTTGACGTGCATCGACCCCGAAGAGGCCTTCCAGATGTTCACTGTGAAAGGCGATCCACTTGGGCATTTAAGTCACCATTAACAATCAGTATTTTTCACCATGCGGAGAAGAGATGAGAGTTATTGATAGAAATCGTCTTTGGTACCTCCCGAACTATAGTCGATAGAGCACTAAACTGAAGCTATGAAAAGGCGTTTTCTTTATACGGTGCTTATTAACTCCATTAGAGGTGCGATGTCGAACCGCACACATGCGGCTCTTCAGTGATATTCAGGGAGTAGCTGTCTTCAGCATGTTTGCTGAGAGCGATACCGGTACCTTAAATATTTCGAGCCGTCTACTCAGTATCGCGAATACTGTAGTCAATGTCATCTTCGGAACCAGGAAGTCAAAGATTCGTCTCAGTGCTATTATCTTTTATGCGTATTTCAAATACAGCACACGTAAACACCAAGACAGTGAAGAGTGTGAGTTAATGCTGACTTTTGGTCGATCTGACCCGGAGTGCGGACGATAAAAAGCTATTACGCATTGAGATTCTTGGTTTGGTGGACGGACTACATGTACGGATGACAACAGTTGCAAAGCCAACGACGTTTTCAATCTACGGAGCAGAATATAGTTTGGGGAGAGAAAACCAAGAACGGGTTCGAACTCTTAGAATATGCCAACTGAATAGACCAACAGATTGTGCACAAAGCTCTCTGAAAACCAAGCAAGGGGGCGTTGTCGATGGGGCCGAGAGGACAGGTGATATTCTCCAGTTGCCCGTTCCGAAAGAAGGGTTTTGTTTAAGGTGCTTTTGCTTCAACACTGACCCACAAGGCATTGGGGTACATGAAGGTTCGTTTGAGGGACTTCACCCGACCCACAAGACAGTTATAGAGCAAGTCTTGCTCTGAAGTTGGGATCTAGTTGAGGCGTTACATATAGCCGTTGGAGATTTATAACGATCCGCATGATTTTCGACCGTAGTATGTTGCGCAATAGCACAAACAGCTAGGCGCAGGTGGGCGTTAGTTAATTCGCACCATATTAACCAGTGGCTGCCTGGCTTGAGACGGACGGAGCGGTCGATTGTGCACCGGGTGGTACCCTGCATCTTCATGGACAAAGTGGGGTGCTCGTACTTTGCGCTAATCGAGCTGTGGGCTTGTAGCCAGTAAATCTGTTGTCTGCCATGACTTTTTAAGGCAAATGGACCATCGACCTCTCCCTAATCTCCAATGATGATTATACGACTGAGTTAGTCTGACCCCTAACCATTGACGTGTCTGGTATGAGTGACTCTGAGGGCACTTGACAAGTGCCACGTGGTATGGCTCTATGAATCATAAAGGTACGCAAACCACGGCGATTTCCACTCTCGTCGCGATGCGTGCCTAACCAAGGACATATTGGTGGTAAACGTTTTGTTGCTTAATGCGATGATGGTCTGTGAGTCCAGATTTGGCTCGTAACCGTCGCTTTTGCAGTAGTTAGGCGAGAATATGGAGATAAAATCAGAGGTCATCTTATGATATTTTTTATAATTAGTTGTGAAGAGTTACCACTTCCAGCTGAGTCTGAGATTCCACACTTAGCTTAGTCTTCATGCTCATTTGCTCTGCATTTTTCTGTTAGTATCATCCTGGATGTTTTACATGGTATCTGTGTTTCTTACTTCTAAAAGAACCTCGGTATGGTTCAGTTTTCATACGATGTGACCTGCAGCAGTTTCGTCGCATCCTGTTGCAGTTATATTGAATGGCATAACTTCGGTAATCCAGGTGCTGGCTGACTTCGTCGAACGTTTGAGTTTAGGGAACGCGTGACAACCAAGCATATATTTTATTGAACGCTTATCACACTGTCATTGAAACAAATGGCATGTTTCCGTGTGTATTTATGTCACCTGCTTCCTCTTTTAGTCGGTTCTCTGAGGTACTTCAGTGCCTTGCCTCTCATTTCTCATTGAATTCGATGCGAAGTCACACTCACTCCACGGCAACGGAACCTATTTGCGACCGTATCATTCCCTACAACAACCAGACGGCAGTCATTCCGGGTTACGAAGGGATACCACAAAATGTGCTTATTAATATGGTCTCTTGGGCGGTATGATATCTATTTTTCCGTTCAAGCAACACTTCAGTTTCTCTTGCTTTTATTTGCTATCTTTCGAAAATTTGCCTGGGATTATGGTCGAATGGCGCTGACGAAACCAAAAAGAAGCAAGTAAGATCACACTTCATTGTCATTATTTTATCTTTGATTTTTGCCATTTGCGCACATTTTTGGCTTAGTTGCCCCGTTACTAACAGTCTCTTTCATATTGTATGACTTCATAGTAACTGCTCATCGACTTGCAATCACGGCCATTGCTGATGCAAGGCTTTATCGCACTACTTTTTCGCTTGTGAAATGGTTGAGTTGCTAGATCCTGGGATAGAAACTAGGAAGGTTTGGTATATTATTCCTTTTAGCTATCATCTTCACATTATCGCTACAGTCTAAACACTTTCCAGGTCATGTATGGACATCACTTGTCATCCTCCGGCGGCTCCATGCATAAGACAATTGCTTAATAACCAGCAATCTACGACACCTGTGTTCGACGAATTGTTTAAGCTATAATTTATAAAATCAGGGTAAGCGAACATATGTTTACAGCAATTCATCTTCAAAAGTGTAACGGAGTAATAGTACCTTAAGAGCCGGACCGTAACTTTAGAGATCACAATCCTGCCTTGTTATGCGATGGCGCTGGTTCGAACCTGCGCAGGAATCGGGCGACCCTCGCAATATCCGGCGTACTGCTGATGTCTTTTTCCCATTAAGGTTGTCAAGCAAATCTTAGCTTGATTCCCTCTTAAAGCAACCCTGAGCTGGTGATATACAATGGGATGATCAAGTCATAGCAAATGGCTCAAGTCTAGCAGATACTCCAGTGTGACTCGGTGTTTTCTTGTCAGCCGTCAACTGACGGCTTGCATTATTTCTCATCCGGTACTCCCACCAGATATGAGCAATGCACAACGTGCATCTGAAATCATGGACAGTTAATCCCCTAATGCCTTTGACGCGGTTTGATCATACCTAGGACCCATACTGACTTTGCCTTCGCGTTGTCCAGTCTGTGTATTTCGCGTATTTCTCTGTGTATGCTGCTGTTTAGTCATGATTACTGTATCAGTTTTATATCAACGCACAAGAGACTGGTCTTCTTCTCTGCCGTGGGATCATTGTACTATTTCCGTTAAAAAGCTATATCACAATCGGACTTAGGTCCGTTGGTAATTTCGCAGCATTTCGTTTTGTCCGTGATATGGTGCCGCTTTGTTCCCCTGTGTTTATTTTTCCTTTGTCAGTGCGTGCGCGTTTACCTCAGTGAACTAGTAACCGTCAGCTGATATTGGAGCGTTTTAGCCACACAAACGCAAACTTTCCATTTTATGGTCTAGCAGTCTTTCGTGTATTTTACACATGCCGATTATATTTCTGGCAAAGGATTCTATCCCCAGAAATATGCCAGGTTTCACAAATGCTAACGCTTGAGCAATTTTTCTCTCATTGGCGCTTCTCTTGTTCCCTCATCACTCATATTGTGTCGTCAGGTTGACATCACTTGCAGCATGGTCTCTAACTTGACTCCCGACTGTCGCCATTTAATCAAGCACTGTACTCTTCTTCGTATCACTCCAGATGGGCACAGTTGTTCTACTCCGAAGTCCGAAGGTCCCATAGTGACACTGAGTCGCACGATAGCACAGAGGTAGCTTTCGCTAGTCGCGACCGCGTAAGTCCTGTTGAGCGCTGGCCTTGATCTTGATTCACTCACAACCAAATAAACTTGGTTCTCTTCTCTACAGCATATCCGCTCCTTGTTCTTTTAGGGTTTTTTGTCTTGGATCAAGACTTGTTTCACTCTCACGTGAGTTTTCCCTCATTGTTGCCGATTCATGTCCTGAGTCTGTATTTTGTCCTACGACTACATACTGCTATTATGACCGGACTAAAGCAACCAAGTTCATTGCATCTGTCAAAGCTGTAGAGACCGATTGGTTATCCTTGATACTCTGTGCCAAATACGTTGATTCACTGCGTGCGATAACTTCGGACCCCGGGAAGGCCCACGCCAGTGGCTGTTGGCTCTATCAGAAGTGGCGCAGTCGCGCGATCAGTGGCGTGCCTGCGTTCGCTTTCTTGCATCTAGCTGTTATTTTTACTCCATCACCATTGGTTTAACACACTTCCTTCTTGGATATTTTGCAAAACACTTAGAACCCATCAAGGACTCACTATTTCAAAAAGGATTGAAAACAACTGATAGATATAGTTTGTTGGCAACGTTTCGCTTTTGACACAAAAGATTTGTCAGGCTGAATGAACCAGTTGTCGATTGGTATAGCACTTATAGCCAACTGGGAAGATAATCGCGACGATTGGGACGTAGGCAGAAGGTCAGCCGCGCTACAGGTCAATGTGTAACTCCAACTAATGCATAGAACGGTCGCAATTAATTCGCGTTACACGTAACCTCTGTTAGTGGTGGGTGTGGGGATGATCTCATGTTCATTCTCTGCCCTGAATCATTCGTTCAGTCCTCCCAGACTGGCCTGGTTAAGACAGCCCGACACACGTTCGAAAGTTTTGCCCCGTCCATTCTATTCACACAGCTGTTCAACTTGCTAATCTCAACAGTCAGCCTTTTGGGCATTAATCGTACCCCCCCTAACGATTTCGACGTTATCCAAGTCGATCTCATGACCTGTATCTATCTATGACCTGTATCTATCGCGTGCATCGCTACTGCCGAATCCCTTAGCTGAGCCCTAGATTCAAGCTCTTTCCTCGGTGACCGTGCTATTCGCCTCTTGTGTTCTGCTATCCTTGTGCATGGCGCTTTCGCGATTTAACCGATATACAAGTGCGCAGTCTATGCAACTAATTATGTACACGCAATTAGTTGTCCTACCTGCGGGAAGTGGGTCTTTCTAATGCGCCAGTGTCGAGCGGAACGTTTGGGTTTCTTGGGAAATCACCCTTATGTTCTCTTTGTTTAAAACCCTCCGGATGGCCTCCGAAGTTACTACTACTACTACTACTACCGTCTCAATCCATTCCGTAGGTGGATTTAAAATTCGCTGCATTTGGCGTTTCACTAACCGCTGCGGATATCCACTACCAGGCAATTGGTTCATTGTTTCTTTCCGGGCGGTCTCCTTATCTTCTTCCTCTTTGCACTTGGTCTGGGTTCCGTGAAATAAATGAAGCGATTCAAGAATACACGTGCTTCGGACGACCTGAACCATAGTGGAGTACACTATCTGTGTCCCTCTGTTCTCGGAATATCGTTTCCATTAGATTACCTCCATCCCTATGAGCCAAACAGTTTAGGAATGACTAGGTGCCACTGCAAGATTTTACTTTCATAGTGAAATTTATCGCCCCCGCAAGTGTTCAAGTACTGTAGGAACTTGTCTTCCCTATCATGTGTTACAATCACAAATGTATCATCCACTTGCGCCACTAAGTTTTCGGTAAGCTACTATAGTCAGTCAGCGCCCACCTTTCAAAGTCTTCCATGTACCAATTTGCCACACGGGGGATATTGACGATCCTATGGCAAGTCCATGTTCCTGCGTGTATAATCTAGATTGGAACGTGAAATAAGATATGTGGAGGCACAATGTCATCCCTACCGTTATTTGGTCTATCGTAAGCTTCTTCTTTCCCCATGGTTAGCGGCAAAGATGCTCATCATCCTTTCTAACATCATTGATCTGCAGTCTGTGCACTATTTACTGTTATGGTCCAGTATGAAATTAGCTTATTAACCCCATAGATTTCTTCAGTAGCTTGCCTTTCAGCTGAGGAAACTTATTATTTGCAGGTAACGATCTTATGCCACTGTTGTCTGCACCTTTCGTTTATTCCAGCAGACCACTGGTTTATGGCTTTCAACAGTACCGTCTGCTTTATTTCCGTTCTTGTTCTCTGCATGTGATTCACTTTTTAATATCACCAAACGTGACCGGATGATCGCGTACTAAACCGATGAATAGACGATGTTCCATGCACGAAGTCTTACGCTGTAGGGACATGAGATACACAGTCTTTCGACCACTAAGAACGGACCTTCAAGCATTACTGGCGTGACATTTTTCGGGTAGCTTCTTTCGGTTTCCTTTACTCCAGTTCGCAACCAAGCGTGCGTCACGAATAACCCATTCAGATTCGCCGTAGGTGTTCATCCAGGCAGTACATTCCAGTGGCGACAGTAGAAACGGTATTTTCGGATGGGCAACACCCAAAATCTATCTGGTTCATCAGTTGCGGTCCTAGCCATCTCAACGAGACTGGACCTTAGCTTGGTGTGATAGTTTGCGTACCCCCATGATCCATTGAGCTATGCTGGGTGGCATTTTCCAAGTGTCTTCAGAGCCACTCATATCAGACAGATCAATGGTTAGGGGTCAGACTAACTCAGTCACACAACCCAATCCTTTTCGGAGGTTAGGGAGAGGTCGATGGCCCTCTTCCTTTAAAACTTAGCCATGTTAGACAACAAGTCTACGGGCTATAAACTCACATTTCGATTGGAATAGAGCACGAGCCCCACACATTTTCTCTGACGGTAAGAGGGCACATTTCGGTACTCAATGGTTTGCTACCTTCCGCTTCAAACCAGGCAACCCCTAATCAAATTGGTACAAACCCGCCAACTCCTACCTGCGGCTGGTCGTAGCCGCAGATGCGTAACGTAATACGGTCGCAAAACACATGTGAATTGCTCCAAATCTTCAAAGGCTGGGTGTGACATGCCTTGAGCGGATTCCTATGGGTCTCTACAATCACGCTCCCAAGCTGGACTTGCTCCTCACCACCTTGTTGGTCAGAATATTGAGCCAAACGCTCCGGGCGGAGTCCCACAGGCGAACTTCCAAATCCGCCACAGGCTATTGAGCCAAAGGCAAGGGGTAGGGCACCTCGAATAAAACCCCTGTCACGGAATGGGCAGCTGGATAGTGTCATATGCCTTCCTGACCACGTCAATAATACTTCCTCTTATTTTTCTCTCCCCTTTCAACTCTCTTCTTCCCCGTTTGTTGAGCAGGAATCTGCCGCTAACCTTTCTGCTGCTGTTATCGATACTCGTCTATCTAACCACGAGTCCCATTTCACATTGATTCTTACAAAATCTGCATTTTGGGTCAAATCAGTCAACAGCCGTCACTGATTCTCACTATTTTCACTCTTGATATTGAGGTGGGCTGTGTCTCCGAAACATTCATACTAGATAACAACATTGTAACGACCCTTCGACACCTTGGCTCTTATAACGAGTCAATGGCTCAAGGTATTTACGGTGTTGGTATCGCTCTCAGCAGACGTGCCAATCTACTTGACTGGATACCGGTGAACAGCCGCATGTGTGTGGTTCGACTTCGAACTTCTATTGGGGTTAATAAGCACCGTTTATGCTCCTACTGACTGCAGTTCGGAAGTTACCAAAGATGATTTTTACTACCATCGTTCATCTTTTCTCCGCATGGCGAAGAGTACTGACATCGTGATTACCGCTGATGACTTAAATGCCCAATTGGGTCCTCTTTCGGATTCTGAACAACATCTAAGAGTCGGGTCGATGAATGCCGAACAGATAACGATGATCGATTCCTTTAACTGTACGCGAACTATACACTTTGTATTAGCAGCACTGCTTTCCAACACAAACGTTCACACTGGATGACCTGAAGCCCACCGAATTCCTCGATGGCCCTAACCCAAATTGACCAAATTTTCATCAACTACAGGTGGTGCACATCAGCCCAAGACTGTCGGTCAGTTTGAAACAAGTGCCTGAATTCCGATCATGCTCTAGTGCGCGTTCTCTTGGCGCTTAATCTTTTCACTTCAAAGCTGGCCTACTAAGCAATCTCCTCGTGGTGCCAGTTGCGCGGTCCCGGATTATCTCGGTCCGGCGAATGGTTCGGCGGCAGTGTTCCATGACGTGGTGGGTTTTCGCCTGACAAGCCTTCTCCCTATAAAAACTACGTGTCCGTTTAGCAACACTGCGACGTGGCGCATGTGCATCGTCACCAAATACGGTCACAGCCCTATGTTTCACCTTGGGGAAGCATTGTATTCCACCACGTTGCTGTTGAAATCTTGGGGATGATTGGGTCCCTGTTTGGCTACTCACTAAACAAAAGGCGGATGAACTGACTTCTTTCCGTTGCCTTGCAGATAGGCTATTGAGCCACAGGCTCGGAATGAAGTCTCTTAAGACAACTCCCTACTTCGGCTTGGGCAACCGGGTAGTACTGTACCGGTAGTATCGCAATTACTACTACGTTGGTCACTTCTGCTGCTACTCCTTCTTCTCCATTACACGCCAACTTTTTTGTTGATAATCCACAACCTCTTGAATCTGTTTCCAATGTCGTCTCGCTTATATCCAAATCGTCCGGCATCCACAACCTTCTGAACAAGGCCGAAAAGTCCTTGCCAGAGATCTCATTGCACGAGTAAGTCGCCTGCTTCCGTGCGAACGTCATCTTGGTGGCAGTCACGCGTTTGATGAGAGTCGTTTTGACAACGATGGTAGACTTCTTACGTTATACGCAGACCACCGTCTCTCTCAAGTACGAACTTTAGGCGTACCAGAAGACGTGTAGCCACGTGGCGTTCTCCTTCAGCAACGCAAGCGTTGTCACAAACAGATCACATTGCAATCAGCTTCATATGGCGAGGCAGCGTCCGGAATTGGTCGACCTACCTTGATTCAATTCATGCTTTAGTCTGCGCGGACATATGCATGCGCTTCGGCGGTTCCTCAAAACGAAAGCACCATGCACTCGACACCAACATGTTACTTGACCTCTCTATTCGATCACCGTATCATCTTCCATGTCGCGTGCATCCATT